GATGTTTCTAACTCTGTATCCCTCTCCCTTCCTCTCTGTAAAAAATCAATAAAATATATTTTTTAAAAAAAGAGTGCAGGCCGCCTTCTCAGACACCTGGGTTTCAACCGGGGCTCTGCCTCACCTGCCGCCCACTGACCTCCCTGAGCAAACGGCTAACTGTCTGTGCCTCGGACTTCTCGGCTGTGACGTGGGAATAAAGCGGAGCCCATCTTGCCTACAGCACGTGTCCTTGGGGACTGATATTTTGGCTCCTCCTGCTGCTCCCAACCTGGGAGTCCTCATCCATGGTGTTGACTTTCCACTTAAGAAGGAGGCTTGGGGGCCATGCTGCTTCCAGAAACTCAGAAAGCAGCTTGGAAAGCCTGTGGGGACCTGCTTGCAGCTCCTCTCTCTGCCTCCTTAACTGCACCAGACTTGCTGGCACGCTGACTGCATCTCTGTCTCTTCAGGCATCACCCGCCGCAGACCACCTGCTCCCGGCTGGAGAGAGGTCTCTTTCCTTTAACTCTGCGCTGGGCCAACACTGAGGCCCCAGAGCCCACTAATGGGGAGTTTCTGCTTCTGCTCACTTCGAATTCACATTTCTGGTTCTTTTCATCTTTTTATTTTTTAAATATTTTTTACTGATTTCAGAGAGGCAGGGAGAGGGAGATAGAAACATCAATGATGAGAGAGAATCATTGATTGGCTGCCTCCTGCACACCCCACACCAGGGATGGAGCCCACAACCCAGGCATGTGCCCTGACGGGGAATCAAACTGTGACCTCCTGGTTCAGAGGTTGATGCTCAACCACTGAGCCAGGCCGGTTGGGCTTTTCCGACTTTTTCTTTTTTTCTTTGGGGGGAGTCTGAGCGCATCCTTCCTCTGTCTCAGCTCCTTTCACAGGCGCCTCCTGGGTCCCACCTTCCCTTTCTAGCTGCTCCCATACGATGATCCAGAAAGGGCAGCAGAGGAGAGCAGAGAGGGCAGCATCCCGGGAAAGCCGGGTCTGACTGGGCGCAGGGCTCTTTTCTAAGAAGAAAGCCACCGCTGTGACCCTCATGAAGAAATCTGCTTGGATGGACACCCCTCGAAACAGGGGCGTTAATCTGGGTGACTAGGCATGCAATGCATTTACACGAGTTTTATGAAATCCAATAGTGTGCCAAGATCAAGAC